ACTTCTTGCATAATTTGACTTGTCAAGACTCGAGCTCGTACATCGGTTCGTTAACTTAAAAAGCTCGGCTTGACTCAATTAGGGTTCCAGTCTAATAGTCGAGCTCGAGCTCGGCCTCATTATAATTCTTTTTAATATATAGGTATGAAAATTTGTCCAACTACCTAAAGAGTAAAGATTAAACAGCTTTATATAAGCCATTCTTATATATGATTGATTTGTCATCCATTCTATTTTTTTCAATGTTTTTCGTAATATATAGTTTGCCAGTGATACCTTTCATGAAAGTAAAAGTGTAGTTGGAATTCATTCACTAGTTCACTAGAATTTTGGGGAACCAAAAATCAAGGCTGAAAATGAAAAAATAAAATAAATAAATAAAAAATAAAAAGGAAAAGGCAAGAAAAAAGGAAAAGCAAAACACACACAATCACACTCACACACATCTAATAATTTTTGTGCCATATTGTAACACGCAACCAATTTCCATCTAAAACAACAACAAACGGTTTTGAGGCTGATGTTTAATTTGCTCCTTTTTAATCAATCGGGTTTCTCCTGTTTCGTTGCTATTTCTTTAAGCAAGACTGATTTTAAATATGCTTGATAATCAGACAATGAAAATTTTTCACTAAATATTTTTGTACTGAAATGTCATATTTAAAATAAATAAATTTATAATATTTTATAATGTAAGTATAATTTTCCCACATGTTTCTCTCTTTTTCTTATTCTCAACTGGAATTTACTTACTAGTCTTCTTGAAGTCTAAGTAACAACTTTTAATGCATTGTGCTTTTTCAAAGAAACAATGAATAGCAGCATATAGCATTCATTAATACTTTTCTTTGTTATCTTCGGAACTTTTATTACTTTATGCTCCACAATTCAAGCTTTCAGTCAATATTTTAGTAGACACAAGAAACAATTGTTTATATAAATTGCTAATATAATTCAAGCTTTCAGTCAATATTTCAGTAGACCCGCAATTGAATATAAATTTGTTTCAAATTCTCAAGCCCGCACCATGTCTTATAATCTTATTTCTACCTGTCAAAAATACTCAAAAAATGGTGATGAAGATTATCATATAGTGTACCGCAAGTGAATTGACTACAAATCAAATATACCGAATCTCACTTAATGGATTGATTAGAATATTAGCTTTCGTTAAAGTACTATTATTATTAGCAGTTGATTAAAATTACCCTTGTCATTATATAAAATAGTGATACCCTCATTTTTTATTATTACGTTATGTAATATTTACTTAATTCGTTTGTCACCACAACTTAACAAATTGGCAATTAATTCGTTTGTCACCACAACTAACATAGGTTTAAATTAACTTAACTGGTTACCAGTTACCACTATTTTACTTAATTGTTAAGCGTTAAATATTTTCACAATGAAATGTCATATTATAAAAAAAACTATCTAAGTCATTGTGAAAATATTTAATATAAATGCTGATGGGAGCCTGGGAGGCAATACAACCGTTATGCGAATCATGTCAACTTTTTGAAATATAAACTTATACTGTTTACCTTAACTACCATTTATTTATTTATTTATAGTAAAACTATAGTCTATATATATCTTTTATCATATAATATTTTATTATGAACATATATTATTTTATTGAAAAAAATATGTTGAATTAACAGGGCAGGCCAACATCAGCGGTACCACACCAATAATAATAGGTTTTAATTTGGCTGCTTTTTATTTTCTTTAGGTGCTTGGCCATATCAATCAATGTAGTTATTGTAAGCAGTCATAATAGTAAGGATTTATTTATATCATTGTCAATTCATTTCAAAACTTCGTAAGCAAGATTGCAAATGTTAATCCCCCATCTTAATGATGCATTTTGACACAAAGACAACTATGTGACATAACCTCCACTACAAGAAAATGGTGAAATTCCAACGATAATATATTTCAATAAAATTCCGACGGGAATTCCAACGGATATTTTAATGTTATTATTTCCGTTGGAATTATTCCAACGGAAATTCCAACAAAACTATTCTGTTGAAATGAGTTTTTCATTGGAATTTCCGTTGGATTTTGACGATTCCAACGGTAGATTTTCCAACAGGGGTGGAAATAAAAATTCCAACGAAAATTGCATATTCCAGCAGAAATTCCTACGGTAAAAAGCCGTTGGAATCATCAAATTTCATCTAAAATTCCAATGAAAAACACATTCCAACTGAATATTTCAATTGGAACTTCTATTGGAATGATTCCAATGGAAGCTATACCATTGGAATATCCGTTGAAATTTCCATTGGAATATATTACCGTAGAATTTTCCGTTGGAATATAACAATTTTTTTGTAGTGCTCTAAACTCTAATTGATAAATTCACGTGGAATCATAGTAAAAGAAAAGTTTTATTTATTTATTTCAATTTCTAATATTTTTAAAAATTTAAATTATTATTTATATTTGAAATGAGAATTTTTATTTTTATGACTTGTTTGTAATATATAATAATAATTTTTTAATACATATATATGTAATGAATTTATGAATAATTTTTAATTTATATATAATTTTATTAAAAAATTATACTAAAATTCTAAAAAAATTCAAGAGAATATTAATTTATTTAATTTTAAATATTTTTAAAAAAATTATTATTTTTTATATTTAAAATATTAGTTTTCACTTGTACGATTTATCTGTTTTATATTATCATAGTTTTTCTAATTCGTATGTAATGAATTAATATTTACTTTTTAATCGACATATAATTTTACTAATTATTAAATAATATTAATATACGATTCATTTTTTAAATAAATTTTATGATTATTTTTATATATGCAATATGGATATGAAATCAAAACTCGTTGAATTTTTTGATGAATTTTATAAATTTGATGTATTATGTATGAGAAACCGATAACAAATATAAAAACTATTAACTTTAAAATATATTTATAATTTAAGCTAGTCAAATGTTTTATAATTTTAAAAGTCTTAATATATATGAATATAATTCAGATCTACATAGACTAATGCACCATAAATTGACATTGAATTACGAAGCACCATAAGTCGATACGTAAGATCGGAACATTCAATATTAACAAAGATTAGTATTTTAAATCTGATGAAGAAAAATAACTCTGGATTCGTATATATATCACGCCAATTTGAAGAACAATGGAGAAAACAAAAGAACTGGAAATAATAATAATAATAATAATAATAATAATAATAATAATAATAATAATAATAAATCTTTCCCGCTTCTCTTCCTCTCCTCATGGGGCATTATTATCTTATAAAGATAAGAAACAGCAAAGATAAAGTACTCGATTTTTTGTGTCTTGGCTTCATCTCTTATGCCTTATATTCCATTGCATTTACCTAATTTGGGGTACACTTCTTTTATATGTATGGACAAGAAACATATCATTATGTTTTGTGAACTCTGCATATAAATTGTGTTGATAAAACTGATCAAACGAGCGCGTGTTCTTAACTGCCCACAAGATTATTAACTTAATATAATATGTTGCCCAATATCACACTTGCATTATTTTCTCTATTTGATTAGTTCATGATATGCTAATATAGTCTTTGATGCACAAATTATTTTATGAATCGACTTAATCGTTAGTTGGGCCAATTTATTATAATTTTCTTTTTCATCAAAACATTTAAGTATATAGTAATTTTTGGAGTATAATATTTCAATTTTGAAATATGTATATCTATTAAAAAATTATGACAACATCAACCTTTAGTTCGTAGATTTAGCTTTATTTTCATAAACAAGTCACAATTACAATTACTACTTGATTAAATCAAATATTTTTTAAAAATGACGGATATATTAATGTTAATAAACTTACTTCATGATTTCTCAATAGTAGAAATTTAAACACACAATTAGATAGGCAAAAGCTTTATTAAAATTTGAATCAATCACTAAAATTTAACACATTTAATTAAACACATAAACATAAAAGTATAAATAATAAACTAAACGATAGTATGCATGTGGATAATGAGTCAGCCCATTAGAATCTTAAAGGAGTCCATCACAAAGTCCCAGGGCTTGGGCACAGACTACAGTACAATTTGTGATAATCTACCAAATCATAAAGGAAAAAAAAAGGAAAATTTATAAT